TTTCTCCTGACCCTTCACAGAGAAACTGGGGTTCTGAAGACCCGGAGTTCTAGCAGCATCCCAGGAAAAGGCACCTGAGGCTTGTAAGCTCAACATCTGGCAAGAGAATCACACAGAGATCTCACACACCAATTGTGGGAAGGCAGGAAGGAAAGAAAGATAAAGCGAGCCCATGAGCTCGGGGAATTTCAGAGCAAGGATGTGCAGATTAGAGGCTAAGCGGGTGCTTAGCCTTACAGCAGCTCCTGAGGGTGCAAGGGACTCCTGGTTGGTCCCAGAAGTTCCAGGTCTTCACGTCCTCGGGTGCCCAGGGGAGGTTCCCTCAGGTCCCACTTCTTGCCATCCCAACGTGCAGGAGAAGAATAGCAAGACGCCCCTGCAAGATAACACTGAGACGTTGACGTGGGAGTGAAAGCGCAGCTTAAACCTGGAGGCACAGAGCGAAAGCAGTTTTACTTAATGCTCCTCAGAAGCTTCAAGGACAGTCTGTTTCTTTAAGGCAAAAACCTTACGTCAAGCAGCTCAGAGGAAACATTTTCAATTGGTTGACATTTATAAGGTTGCTTGCAAGGTTTTTTTTTTTTTTTTTGGAGGGGGTGGTTAGATCCCCCTCAGGTTTAGAGAAAGTTCTGCTTGGCTGGCCAGTGTTATCAAAAGAGAGAACTCTCTCTTTTAAAAAAAAAGCATTTTATTGGGGGCTCGTACAACTCTTGTCACAATCCATCCATCCATGGCGTCAAGCACATTTGTACATGGGTTGCCATCATCATTCTCAAAACATTTTCTTTCTACCTGAGCCCTTGGTATCAGCTCCTCATTTTATCCCCTCCTCCCCGAAGGAGAGACTCTCTCTGGCACATCTCAGCGCCAGTAGGCATGTGGCCGGGTCTGTGATGTAGTTTGTCCACATGCAGGCATGGCCTCTCAGGACAATGAAGCAGAAGCAGTCCCTGAGAAGGTAGGGGACACAAGGGAGTCAGGCCTGCATTTCTAAGGTACAAGGTGGGGTAAGACCTACACTTCTTACGGAAGCTTCAGGTCTGCCAAGTGCCTTGGGTTTCAGACTGCTCTCTCGGCATGGACTGGGGGTGCGGGGCGCCCAGGCTCCAGGAGCAGGATTGAGCTGTAGGCTGCAGGGTTTTGTAAAAATCGTTTTATTGGGGGCTCATACAGCTTTGATCACAATACATACATGCATCCATTGTATCAAGCACATTTGTATCTATGTTGTCATCATTTTCAAAACATTTTCTTTCTACTTGAGCCCTTGGTATCAGCTCTTCGTTTATCCCTCCTCTCTCCCCCACCCTCCCTCCTTCCCTCCCAAACCCTTAAGAATTTATAAATTATTATTATTTTTTCATGTCTTACACTGACTGAGGTCTCCCTTCACCCACTTTTCTGTTGCCCATCCCCCTGGGAGGGAGTTCTATTTAGATCAATTTCTCCCCCTATCTTCCCCTTCCCCTCTTGGTGTCACTACTCTCACGATTGGTCCTCAGGGGTTTATCTGTCCTGGATTCCCTGTCTTTCCACCTCTTATCTGTACCCGTGGACATGCTCTGGTCTAGCGGGATTTGTAAGGTAGGATTGGGATTATGAGTGTGGGGGCGGGAAGCATTAAAGAGCTAGAGGAAAGTTGTATGTTTCATTACTGCTATACTGCACCCTGACTGGCTTATCTCTTTCTTGTGACCCTTCTGTGCAGGATGTCCAATTGTCTACAGATGGGCTTTGGGTTCTGAAGACCCGGAGTTCTAGCAGCATCCCAGGAAAAGGCACCTGAGGCGTATAAGCTCAACATCTTGCAAGAGAATCACAGAGAGATTTCACACACCAATTGTGGGAAGGCAGGAAGGAAAGAAAGACAAACCGAGCCCATGAGTTTGGGGAATTTCAGAGCAAGATGTGCAGATTCGAGGCTAAGTGGGTGCTTAGCCTTACAGCAGCTCCTGAGGGTGCAAGGGACTCCTGCTTGGTCCCAGAAGTTCCAGGTCCTCACATCCTCTCAGCACTCCCCCTCATTCACATTGATATGTTTTTTTGTTCTGGGTCTTTGATGCCTGATACCTGATCCCATCAACACCTCATGATCACACAGGCTGGTGAGCTTCTTCCATGTGGGCTTTGTTGCTTCTCAGTTAGATGGCCACTTGTTTGTATTCAGGCCTGTAAGACCCCAGACGCTAGCTCTTTTGATACCCAGACACCATGAACTTTCTTCACCACATTTGTTTGTGCACCCATTTTGTCTTCAGTGGTCATGTTGGGAAGGTGAGCATCACAGAATGCCGGGTTATTAGAACAAAGTGGTCTTGTGTTGAGGGAGTACGTGAGTAGAGGCCCATTGTCCATCTGCTACCTTGATACTGATCTATTTCCCTATCGTTATATAAAAATATGTTTACATATGTACATGCCTGTATTTAGACCTCCATAAATGCCCTTTTCCTCCTAGTTCTTTCCTCTATTTTCTTTTACTTTCCTCTTGTCCCACTATCATGTTCGGCTTCATCCGGGTTTCAGTAATTCCTCTTGGTTACATTGCCCTTACATCCCATACCCTCCTCGCCATCAATTTTGGATCACTTGTTGTTCCCTTGTCCCTGGGTTTGTTAACACCCACTTCCTTTCCCTGGCTAGCCCTCTCCGGTGTCCCCCCACCCCTCTGCCCCCAGAACCATTAGTCTTATTTTCTCCGCTGGATTGTTTTTCCTGTCTATCTTATCTGGATGGTCATGTAGAGACAATAATAAGCACAAAAACAAGGCAGAGCCAAACAAAACAACAAAGGAAAACCAAAAAACCAAAGGCACAAAAAAAGAAAAGCCTGTAGATAGTTCCAGGTCTGTTTGTTGACCTTTAAGCGTGTTTTCCGGTTGAGTTTAATGGGGTGCCACACCCTGACCCCAAAGTCTATTTTTGATATTCCCCGGGGACTTCATTGCTCTGCTCCCTTGCTGTTCTGTTGCATGCCCAAGTGTGGTGGGGTCAGATGGGGCACAATTCCCACACTGTGCCTCCAGGCTGCAGGTTTTGAGGTTTTGAATTTGGTTCATTCATTCAGTCTGCTGTCCCTCTAGTGCTCATTGTCCAAGCATCATAGGGAAGTCTACAGGGCTTGTGCAGGGGTGCCGGGGGAACATATATATAAGACCCCCCACCCCACACACACACTTCAGCCCTGGAAAAAGATCATCTTTCAGGCTTGGGTGAGATCCTGCCCTCCTGCAGGTCTGGGTGACCTTGATGAGCCTAAACTTGGGGAATGAGTGGGTACAAAGTGGGGGAGGGGCCGCACAAGAGGAGGAGGGAGGCTAGTAAGAATGTAGGGCTGGTGGGGGCCGTAGGGACAAAGGTGGAGACTAGCAGCCACCAGGCTTCTGTCTTTCTTTTCCGTGGTCTGGGCAGCCTGTCTCCTGGCTACCTCCGAGCTCTGTCTGCAGGCTGCGTGGGGGAGGAGACAACAAGATGGATGAAGACAGGTGCTTTCCTTTTAGAACTGTTTCCAGAAGTGATGTTGAAGGGTAGGCAGGGCAGCTAAATATAGTTCGGGGGCCATGGCTCAGGCTGGATTCCTGTCCGCTGCTCCCTGAATGCCCCACACCCAGGACGTCCACTGCCAGTTGCCCAAGAGAATCCTCCCCTAGTGCCCATTTCCCCCTCCTCTGCGCTTGCTGCTGGCGCTTTGTCTGTCTTCAGAGCAGCCTGTGGTGGAGCTTGACCTTGCTGGGTCTCCTGCGAGCCTCTTTTTGGCCTAAGATTCCCAACTGGACCTGTGAGTCTTGTGGTTCTGGGGATGTGGGGGGAGGGAGGGCCTGGGAACCTAGGAAGGTGGGTGAGAGGAGGGGAGGAGGCTCTGGAGAATTTGGGGCTGAGGCAGGGCCTGGGACCAAGGCTTAGACAGGAGCAAGGAGAGGGAGGAAGACAGCATTGGTCACTCAGGCTGGCATTGGGAAAAGGGGTCCGAGAAGGGTTTTTATCAGACAACTGCAGTTGAAGCTGCCTTTGGAACAAAGGCCGTGCCCTTCCCCTTGGCCAGGACCAGATAGCCTTCCTGTTGGGACCGGGGCCTTGAACCAGAGCCTCCTCCAGGAGGCACAGAGTGGTGGCAGCGTTAGGGGTTGCAGATGGGCCTTGGGACTGAGAATGGTGCTGTGCCCAGCTCACAGGCTCCCTTGACCCATTCTTCCTCCACCTAGACCCACCATGTCAGCTGCCCCGCGCCTCCTACACCAGGAGCTGTCCTGCCCGCTGTGCCTGCAGCTGTTCGACAGGCCCGTGACAGCAGAATGCGGCCACAGCTTCTGTCGCGCCTGCCTGAGCCGCGTGGCGGGGGAGCCCGGGGGGGATGGCACGGTGCCCTGTCCCACTTGTCAAGCACCCACGCGGCCGCAGGCGCTCAGCACCAACCTGCAGCTGGCGCGCCTGGTGGAGGGGCTGGCGCAGGTGCCACAGGGCCACTGCGAGGAGCACCTGGACCCGCTCAGCATCTACTGCGAGCAGGACCGCACGCTCGTGTGTGGAGTGTGCGCCTCGCTCGGAGCGCACCGTGGCCACCGCTTGCTGTCCGCCGCCGAGGCCCACACGCGTCTCAAGG